CTTGTCTCCATGTACCTTTAACTTGCTATAATTAAACTTGCATTTTTGACTAGTTCATCTCAGTCACTAGGATTGTATTAATAAGTGTCTATGTCTTATTCTACAATCAGCACTCTTGGTAGCAGCAGCCAGGAAATCAAAAGACAAATTGTATTGGGAAAATCTGTTGTCAGGGACCTCTTGAGAGTGTGAAGAGCAACAATGTCAGTCTAGAGATTAAGGTGCATCTGATCCAGGCCATGGTCTTCGCAATTACTTGCTATGCCTCAGAGAGCTGGACAATGACTAGGGATGGTAGAAGAATTGATGCCTTTATGTCATGGTGCTGGAGTAAAGTATTAAATATTACACAGAAGACTGCTAGGAGAACAAATAGGTATGTCCTGGAGAGGGTGAAACCAGGCTGCTCCTTGGAGGCAAGGATTTTGAAGCTTTGTCTCATGTTCTTTGGGCATGTTGCAAGGAGGGACCAGTCCTTGGAGAGGGACGTTATGCTTGGAAGGGTGGAGGGACAGCACAAAGAAGGAATGCCCTGGATGAGTTGGACTGACTCGGTAACTGGGATAGTGAGGGTAGGTGCGTCAGAGACAGTGAGGTTGGCTCAGGATGAAGCCGGGTTCAGAGCTGTTGTACAAAGGATGGCTGTGAGTCACAAGCATCTTGATGGCACACCACCACCACCACCACCACAACATGTCTTGTTCAGTGTTGAATTTTTATCAGTTGTTACTCAATAGCTCCCCGCATACACGCATGTACCTGAAGGCTAGAGAGGTAGGTGCCTGAGGGACATTCCCTGCCTTGCTGGTAGAGGCCATGGGGTTTTCACATCTAGAAATGACTAACATCACCTGGTGGCATTGTGGCTTCCATGTTGTGTGAGACTGGAATCCCGTTCCTGGCATTTCACGTACCAGCAGATGCCCATGGTGGCACGCTTGGGCTGAGCTTCCACAAAATAAACAGGAAGGCCTGGTGACCTTCTTTCAAAAATTAGCCAATAAACCTTTATGGAACAGAACAGTGTCCCATACGGTGCTAGAAGATGAGCCTCCCGGATTATAAGGCGCAGGAAGTACACTGGCCGGGACAGTAGGCTGGAGGACACTGTCTTTATGACACGTGACTGGGGACGTTGGTGCCGAGCTGGACCGCATTGTGACTGTCCTGGAGTAGACTCACGGCAGCCGAGTAGATGGTGGTGAACAGTCCCAAAACACGAGTCAGTCATTTTGCGCTTCTGCTCTGTCACCAAGCCCGGGTAGTTACCAAAGCGTAAAGCGGAGGAGAGTCTCTGTCCTCACCCCCTTACATTTTGAATTTTTAAATTCTTGAGATGAGGATAGGGAGCTCTGGTGGCTTAGTGGCCCCAGTTTCTTTAGATGTTCTTTATGTTCGTTTATTTTCTTTTGACCTCTCCGTGCCAGAGTCCTCCCGCGACCTGCCGTCCTCTGCATTTTCCTGACTGCGCTGAAACCTGGACCTGAAGTCCCGGGTTGATCGTTAATTCATCTGCTGGGCAGTTGAAGGTTCTCTCAGTGCTGGAAGTTGGGGTCAAAGCAGACAGCTAGAACTTGACCTCTTCTGTCTGCTCCCTAGTTTTTGTAGCTGCTTAACCTTTAACCCAACTGCTCCTCTGTTCACTGAAATTCCACTTTGCCAGCCCAGTGTTGCATGTGCTGAAGATTAGAAGTATTCGAAAGAGATTTTTGGAAAGCTTAGTTAATTTTATTTCTACAAAGTCTGAATAACTCTTGTCACACAAGATATTCTTTCTGGCATTGGTTTGAAGTAGAGACCAAACATGTCTATGTGTGTGTGTGTCTGTACACTCACATGTTAATACTCACATATGTATCATATCTTTTTCTTCTGAATTTCCTGTATATTTTATTTCCACACTTAGCACAGACCCAGTGTGACCTTCAGTCACCCTGCTGTGCCGTCTGAACCCCGAAGGGCCCTACGGTGCCTCTGAATTGCAGACTTTTGGAAGGTTGCTTTAACATCACATTTGAATTGCTTTATTTCATTTTTTTTCCCTTTGAGTCTGTTGCTAAGCAACCTGGAGGCCTGGGCAAAACCAGCAAGGCTGAATTGGTCCTGGTAGCACGTTCATGTGTCATCGTGTTAGCAGCCCGTATGTTTACATAGGCAGTTGGTCGTAAATACACTCAGGCCAGTGCTGTGTGCCGTCGTGGCCAAGGAAAGTGGTTGAGGTGGCAGTGGTGGCACGGCTCTGCGTGGGGGCTGTGGTCTAACTCTCTGCTCTTCCTCTGGGTGGCCGTAAGCGATCTGCAGTCTCGAACGTGGGTGCAGCCGGTGGAGCCCTGACTTGGTTGTTGTGTGAACGTGTGTAGCTTGATGCTCTTCTCTGTGTGATTCCTCATGGGCATGGATCCGACTGGATGGCCTCCTACATCAGCCAAGCACAAAACTGGAAAAATACCCTCACATTCCATTAGGCCATCACCATATGAAGTATGTTTGAGGGAGAAAATTCAGCTCCTAGTGTCTGTGTTTTAAAATTGTTAACCCCATTTGGTCTACAAACAAAGTCATGTATTATTAATGCAAGTAATTTAAATGTTTTGAATGCTTTTTTCTATTTAAATTGTGAGGTAATCAAGGAAGTCACCCTGATCTAACCCAGCCATCTGTCCTGTCTCAAAGAGAGTCCACTTGATCTGGCCAACAGGCTGGTGGCGTGAGATTGTTCCGGGTGAGTGGACAGTTTACACCCTCGGGCCGGTGTGAAAGCACATCTCCCAGCAGGAGGTTGAGCTGCCCCTGATCTGTAAAGGTGAACACCCCGACCTGTGCCTGTCTTGCTGGGTGGAGGTAGCAGCGCGGCCTGGGAAACCACTGTCTTGCCCTTTGGTCTCTGAAGACCACAGTCTGTTTGATGGGTCTTAAGGTTCCTTGATAAAGATTGATATCACTGGTCTTGTACCACAAGGGTTTCTTTGAAGTAAAGGCAGTGGTTAAACATGCCACTGTTGCCCAAGAAAGGGCAATGGTTGGGGCCTACCTTGGAGACCTTGCAGGTTCTGCTCTGTCCTGTACAGACACAGGGAGTTGGAACAGCTTTGTGACACTCAACAAAAGCACATTTAGATCTGGTGGCCTAGTAGGTAAGACATTGTGCTGCCAGCCAAAGGCAGGAGGTTTGAATCCCCAGCTTCTATGAGGGAGAAGGATGGGCACTCTCCTTCTGTGTGATTTGTAGACTCGAAAATACTTGGTGAATCAACTGAGTCTGTTGCAAAATCACCTTAGTCAGTTGAGTTATTGCTAATGTAGGGAGTTCTGCTGGTGTAGTCTGTAGCAAGTAGTGCTGCTAAACCAAGTCTTAGAGTCTCTGGCAGATCTAAGCCAGCAACAGCCCTGCTGGAGAAAGGCGCACAGTCTCCTGCTGTTATAATTCAGAGCCTCCAAACCTGGTGCAGAGTCACCCGAGTGGGAACCGACTTGGGCAGTTAGTGGATGGATGAATGCTGGCTGATGGAAACATCGGGAATTAAGAGACAGCAGAAGCTGGGGAAAGTACCACTTTACAATGACCTAATCTTGAAAATTCCTGGAGAGTACTAACTTTTTGTGTTTTCAGTACATGCTGCAAACTCACTTATCCCAGCTATAAAATATAAAGCTAAGTTTGTGGATTGATTGTCTTTAAAAACCTGTAATGCCTTCTTGCCAGTGTGCTGATTTTCTGAATCTAAGTGTTGACTTAGAGTTTATTCATTTTACTCTATGAATGGTTATTATTTGAAAATGCAGTATGGAATAAAATGTTAAGGTTTTAGGCATATAAATTTAAAAATACATCCTAAGACAGTGATTTCTAAACTTTTAAGTTGGTCAATTCCATTTGAAAAAAAAAATCGGTGAGAGTCCTCTAAAATATGTAAGAATGTGTGTATTGAAAAGATGTGTATGTATTACTGTACTAGATTTTTAAAGCAAAAAATTGAAGTTAATTTAAAAAATTAATATTATTAGTAGTGTGTCCTGCAGGTGAGACGGCTTCTTACCTTCTTATAACATAAGGCTTGTAGGTAGCTAAAGGACAGCATTTTGGATGGCTTACTTGTTGGCCACTTAGTTCTGCATCTGACCTGTGTCTGCCTTGCTGGGTGGAGGTAGCAGCGCGGGCTGTGAAACCACTGTCTTGCCCTTTGGTCTCTGAAGACCACAGGCTGTCAGAAGATCCGAGGGCAGTGCCTGTTCCGCCACGCCTCTCCTGTGCCCTGGCTGCCATCATGGCTCTGCTCTGCAGTGTTTTCAGTTCTCAGTAGAAATCCTTTAAAGCCCCCTGTTCAGTTTGTATGGGTTGGTTTAAGCGATGTGAAATCATACACAAACCCATGTACAATCAGGTCTGCTTATAGGGAGACTCATTGTAAGGCATTGGGAGTGAGGGGACACCCCCACTTGGTGCTGGTCTGTCTTGGTCGGCTCGGGCTCTTGTGTCCTGAAGGTTCTAGAAAGGAGCCTCTTTAGTTCTTGTCTTTTCTTAAACTAAGCTTAATTTAAGGAAAGTGGAATTTTTATAAGAATATGCCTGTGTGTCTTGTGTGTGGTGCAGAATCCTTGTCTGTTGAAGAGGAGGACAGGTGTGGGGTAGGAGAGAGGAGGACAGGTATGGGGTAAGTTGAAGGGGAGAACAGATGAGGTATAGGTTGAAGAGGAGGACAGGTGCGGGGTAGGAAAAAAGACTACCCTCTTGGATCCAGGTCTGCTTTGTCTGTCTGTGTTAGTGAACTCTCACTACTGTCTGTAAACTATTTCCTCATCTGTAACCTCACCTGGTTACACTTGGTTACATCTCTCACCTGGAGATGAGAATTTACTTGAACAAGAGTCCTGGCAGAGGGCTTTGTAGCGTATTTGACACTCTCATGCCCTCGCATTTGTAAACCCTTGTAGGAATCTGAGAAGATTGTAGAAGCGAAGGCCTGCATCTCACGGTTGTGCTGTCCGCTCTTTCTGTCTAGACTGCCTCTTCAAGCTGTGTCCCATGAACCGCTACTCCGCCCAGAAGCAGTTTTGGAAGGCGGCGAAGCCAGGGGCCAACAGCACTACAGACGCGGTGCTGCTCAACAAACTGCATGTAGGTGTCTGCTGGGCTGTGTGTGTGTGTGTGTGTGTGTGTGTGTGTGTGTGTCTATCTCCCCAGTGGTGGGGGGAGGGAGGGACAGGGTCTGCTGAGTTGCCATGGGATAGGGGAGTGTGGGTTGGAGGGTTTGCAGGGTTGGGGGAATGTGAGGGAGAGGGTCTGCTGCATGCCCTAAGGGTTGGGGAGGTGGAAGGGAGGGTCTGCCAAGTGGCAGATGGGGGATAGGACGCGGAGGGGTAAGGGTCTGTTGAGTGGCCGTGGGGCATGGGAGGTGGGGGAAAGGGTCTGTTGAGTGTGGGGTGGGGTGATGGGAAGTGTGGGGGTGTCCGCGGAACCCACCGGGGTGCACTTGTAAAGGTGCTGCTTTCCTCGCCGGCCGTGCTTTTGAACACGCTGTATCAGCCGCACTGGTTGTTGGGTACTGTCAAGTCACCTCCGGCTCATGGCAACTCTGTGGGCAGCAGGCTGAAATCGTGGCCTGTCCTGTGCCTCCTCATCCTCTCTGCTTGGCTCAGACCTGTAGCTGCAGTCACGTGACAGTCTTCATTGAGCGTCTTCCTCTCTTTTGCTAACCAAGCACACTAGCTTCATTTTATTTTGCTTTTTAAGCACCTCAGCGCTGGGTGGCCCAGAGCAGTTATTGGGCTTGCTGCTAACCCAAAGGTTGATGGTTCAAGTCCACCCAGAGGTACCTCAGAGTAAAGGCCTGGTGATCTTCCTCTGTCATTGAGACCCTTGTGGAGCTCAGTTCTGTTCAGATGCGTGTGGTGTCACCATGAGCTGGAGTCGGTGCATTGGCAGCTGGACGGCATCTCTAGGAAATGCACGAATAAGCTCACTGCTGTCGATCCAGAACCAACTCATAGCCGACCCTCCGTCGGGCTTCCAAGACGGTAGATCTCCTCTTCTGTGATTGAAGATTACAGATGTGATTTCAGGTCTTGAAAGGCTCCTACTTAGAATTCACTTGGAACTGTACACACACACACACACACACACACACACCCCAAGTCTAAAAGGTCCCTTCCACTCCCTGCTGTCCCCAGGCGTCATTAAAATGTTCTAGTTTTGAGCAGCCACTTGCTTTTGGGGGCCACTGGCCAGTCTCTAGTGGTTTTTAGTTTTGCTTTTGCCAGCCACCGTGCAGCACCCCAATCAAAGGTCAGGTTATTTTCTGAATGCCATTTAAGGAATTAGTTGTCTAGACTACTGACTTTGGGAAGTAACAGAAATGCCACTTTGAAGGACAGTGACATCTAGTGGCTGCTTCCTGAGTGTGTGCATGCTCGTGGCTTCTGCAGGAGTAACTGGCACGTAACTTCCAAAAGTCCCTGGGCAGAAAGAGCTTCCCTGGGCTCCTTAAATGATTCAATATGTTCTGAAAGCCTTGACGACTGTTTCCTGGCTGCAGCTTACCTGGCACCTTGAACAGACACCTACATTGTTTTGGCTCTGAGAAAAATGGCTTTGCTTAAACCATAGCTTTTTCAAGTTTTGTAAAAGGAACCGGAGGAGTGACAAGTCCTTATTGTCTTTCAAGTCGGCTTTCTTTCAGAAGGCTAATTCAATATCGTATTATGTAACATGGAGCTTGTTGACCTTACATACATAGCCGGTTCCCACTGTTTAGTGACCTTTGGAGTAATTTAATAGAAGTTTCTCAAGTTCTGAAAGTAGCAGGTGAATGTGACACAGTTGACCTTAATGATATTTAGGGAGCGGCAGTAGGGAAGAGATAGAAGTGTGGAATATCTTTTCTCTGTGAGAAAGAAATCATTCAGTCCATTGCACAAGGAGAAAGGTATTTAAATTATTAAGCTTTTTTCTAATTTATTGTTGTTATTATTATTATTATTAATTTTAATGACATTTTGGATTTTCATTCATT